GTACATATTATATAACTGGGTATAAATAATAAAGTGATTGCTTGAATGTAAAATAATAAAATGAATGCATGCACATCAAATAATAAAAAATGAACGATTTCGAGCTCATATGGGTCTGGCTTCTTATACTAGTTTTAATGGCTATTTGTGGCATCTTTGTGTGTCTTAGTTTCCAGCGATAAACGTATCTGGGTGGAAAGGGGGTGGCTGATTTATTACTTGCCTTGAAAATTTTGTTTATCAAAAATAACGTTACTATTCAAACGCACTTAAGATAAGTGTGTAAAGTGTTTCTTGAGCTGGTTCCCAGACAAGTGCACGAAAATTGGATCTCTTACAGACAGGGTTATACATATTATTTATTAGGTGTCGTAAATAAGATTTAATTATCTGGGATATTTTTCGTTAAATGAAGGATTTTGAATTTAATAAGAATGCAATATTATATTTAATAAATGGAATTAAAAAATTATTAAGGTACCTAGGTGAGGTAGGTTACAACATTAATAGTAAAATCGATTTGATGGTTAAATTGTTAACATTAATTTTTATACCTAGATCTTAGATATTTATTTTTAACAAATTATTAAAATAATTTTAAAGTAACTACATTATTTTGTTCTTTCATGGTTTATATTTATATATTTATATTTATATTTAATTGGATAATTCAAGTGACATAGCTATAATAGCGTATTTCGTGGAATATTCAACTTTTTCAACTTTGCATGTCGAGACGCTTATTCACTTCCCGAAGAAGCATCTTTTTTTGTTAATAATTTATTTTGGATAAATATGGAAATTGAAAAAATACGACTCTTATTATTTATTTATTTATTTTAAATATATGTTATTTATCATAATATAAACCCCACAGTTAATCTTTTTGCTATTTATTTTGTAATATTTTATTGGACCTTTCCCGTTATTGATGATCTCTATTACTCATGCGCAAATTCATCAAAATTTATTGTTGTTATGTTTTCTACCCTAAATTGCAATTATATAAACGCAAGTGTCATTTTGTTTTTGAGTTTGATATTAATGGTAGGGGAGCCAATCGTGACACTTTTAGGTGTGTTATTTGTAAAAGGTAAAATGTTATTACAAATATATCGTTTATTCTTACCTGGTAGAACATGAAAATAGTCCTCGACGATGACGTTTTAAAAAAGCCTGAGTAGAAAATTGTAAGTTGGTACTTCTATAACAGTGTCATAGAAGCGCAAACTTGAAAAATTCAGATATTATTTACATAAAAAGTTAGTAGAAAAGTTTCTTGAAAGTCGGCACACAGTCACTGAACTATATATTAAAATGGAAGCGCAAAGCCGATCAAGAAAATCAAGATGCACTGCGGGGTGACGTTTGACAGTCTGGCGCACAAATGAGCGTATCAAAAAGAGAAAAAAGGGAACACCAAAATTTTGTTTTTTAATTTCGTAAAATATGCCTTTTTTTTTAGGTGAAAAATCTTGCTAGGATTGTTTTTTTTTATATTTTGAAAATGCAAGAGTAATTATCAAGACTAATCAGTCCATGACCAAAGTAAGCCAACAAATGATTTTTTAACACTTACCAAGTCAACTGATTTCGAAATGTAACCATGTCCAATAGATTTCCGTGATTTGTATTTTTACTATTTTACTGCCAGTTTGGTATTTTTAACAGAAAAAAATGTGACCTAGGGGATTTAAAGAGGAATAAAAAACAAACAAACAATAATAAATTGATATATATTAAATAATGAATTATTAAAAATACATTGATAATGGTACTTTATTATTACTGGTGTTTGAAAAGTATCAACTTTGTCAATTCTTTTCTAATTAATGTACCCCTCTCCTCTGCCGTTTGTCTTCTAGCAATCGCATAAAATCTTAATTTAGCATAAGATTCTATTGCCAATTTCACTAAAAGACACTCATGGTTATCGGCAAAAGTTTTCAAGTCTAATTGGTGATCTTTTAATGATTTAAAAACATGTTTCTCTTCCCTAAACTTTAAAAAGCACATTAATATGAATTTTTCAAAAAAGTTTTTCTCATTTGGAATTTTATTATTAGTTTTATTTAGAAAAATGTTAATAAAAGTTTCTACATATCTAATGATAGTTATGACATCTTCTGATGGTTTTATTAAACCACCTCTATTTTTTCGATTTAAGAAAAAGAAACCAAAGTCATCCCTTGTGTTACCATCACAAGTTTCTAGAGAATATAGGCACGTGTTGCACTTTATGATAGATTTCATTTTTTTAACAACAAATCCTGCTATATAAGTTAAAATATTTTCTGTTACAATATCAACAATTGGCATAGAAGAAAAATAATCGTGATCATTTTGTTCATCATCACAGAGACCATATTTTTTCATAGTTCCCAAATCATCTACAGATACTACTCTTTTACTAGTAGAATTTTTTTTCTGTGTGACCGTTAGTATAGAAGTGTGATCTAAACTGAGACAATTACCTCCATCTTTTTTTAAATCATGACTCAACATTAAACGTTTAAATGTATTTGAAAACTGAAATGCGGTAGGATTATTATTGCTACCATTCCTAGCTCTAACATTAAAAAAAAATAGTTCCAAATGGTCTTGACTTAATTTATACGTTAACAAATATTTCAATGAAAATTCAGGTTTCACCTAAGTGTCGTAAATACCCATAAGGGAGGTTAAAGTTATAATGAACCCTTTTACTGGGGTTTTATTTCGAGTTTTATATAAGGGTACACCTGATGAGTTTTTTAATTCTTTAAGGTAAGCTATACCTTCCACAATAATATTACTCCAATAACCTTCATTGGCTGGTTTTAAGGGAGTTTTACAACCGGATGCAAATAATCAAATGATCAAATATTCTTATAAATTTGATTGTCCCTTTAGAATTTCTGAAGTTTTCATGTCCAATGTCTTCATTTAGAAATTCCAATGCATCAGCCACACTGCTACTAATTGTTTGAGCAGCTAAATTCACCTGAAAATAATAAAATAATCAGGTTACAGTAACATGGACTTATATAAAATATCTAGCTATAACTACTGATAACAAAGACTTACTTTCATTTTTTGTTTTGTCCATTCTAAATGAGCTTTTTTTAATTTATTTCCCAAATTTAATTCATATTCATCTTGCATCTCATATAATTTTTTAATAAATTCAAAATTAATTTCATTGTTGTCTTTATCATAGATTTTATTAAGGGTAGCCCAATTATTTCTCACAAGTTTTAACATATGACAGGCGTCAAAGATGATATACACATTTGATCCAGTAGTAGGATGTTTAAAGAAAGGTTGTATCCCAGATTTTGATGATATAATCATTTTAGCACCAAGCTCACTTGCCATTGTAAAATGGGCACTTGGACCATCGCATGTCACAGATACAATAGTGCAGTCTATTTCTGCCAACATAATTAAAGCTTGTTTTACTATATTGGCCTTCTCCTTACCTCCCATTTATTAAAAAATAAGCAATTGGAATTTTCCAATTGCTGTTTAAGCAGACAACCATTAGAACAAGGGCATCTTTAGCACATTTCATTTCATCATCTTCTATGTTTGTTCCAAAATCTACATATCCCCAAGTTTTATTTCCTATAAATTCTATTTGTTTCTTGAGTGCCATTTCATCTAGCATCAGACAGCACATAGTTTTAATAACATTTTGTTTATCTTCCTGAATCTTATCTTTTAAAGAGTGCATGGCAGACGTCGCAAAACCCGGAGAACAATCAATATTCCCCAACCAATTTCTAATAATAGATGGGGAAGGCAAAGCTAACTGAAAAGTTCTTCTTACATAATCGTATGCTTTAGACGAGTAAAATTGTAAAGTCATTGCAAAACTTCTTAGTTCAGGGGGAAATTGTTGTCTTGTGATTTTTCCCTTCTTTAAATTTGAACATGGTCTCTTCATAAGTGTAAATGGTATATGATCTATGGACTTTTGAAGAACTGTCAGAGAGTCATCAGTCATTGTTTTATTTTTAGCCAGTACTTTTATTACATCTTTTAAGTGTATTACATGCACAGATAATATTTTTACCTTTGCTTTAGATGCTTTTAATTGTCTCTGCAGTACCAATTTATCCCGTTGTGTTTTATTAAAGCCATGCAATACTTTTCTTGGAGATAGGCTGTAAAAAATACAAAACATTCTCATGAAATTGTAATTTCTTGCACTGTTAACTGGATAATTTTAAGAACTTGCAAAAAAGAGGTAGGTGTCACGTGGGGACGGTTGAAAGTGAGGATTAAAATTTTAAGTTAAAATTATCCATAATAAAGTCAAACTAAAATATTATTTTCCATAATACTTAAATTTACCAGTATGTGTGTATAGTTCTTACATCTCGTCTTGTTCGTTTTAATCCTTCGCTGTCTGAAGATGAAGTGCCTGGAAGTTTTTTATTTTAATCCTCACTGAAATAGAAAAGAAATTATTTTCTAAAAATGCATTTGTTTCTCAAAATAAATCGTGTAATAGCATTTTGTTTAAACAAAATATAATTATGTACATTCAGCAAATGGTATAAAATAATAAATGAAGACACGAGTGGATAGAGGTGGCATGTCACAAAAAGATTATTTTGAGAAAAACAAGTTTAAAGTTTTACAATTGCATTATGATATATGGCTCATGATACCTTTCCCACCTGATGAATAGCCGTGATTTATCAAAATTGGAAATCAGAACTATCACAGACAAAAAATAGTATATTTAAAGTACATTAGGCCATAAAAATCATTTTTTCAAAAAATGTGACATGACATCTTTATTCACTTGTCTTCAAGTGTCTTTACTGAACTTAATTACAAAAATTCTATTCAGCAGGTTAACGACTAACGTTATTTTTTGTACAGACTTATAGTCCTCCAGCCAGACATGATTGCAGTTATGAGAATGTTTTTCAGAAAGTTAGTTTTTTTTTAATGTCATTCTAAATATGTCTACCATCAACTATGATATAAATTACATTCATTCTTACCTTAACGAAATATTATGAAATGTATGAGATGTAGAAGCAACTTCAATAGGACTGAAAATAAATATAATGATTTATTGCTAATATTTTTACGTTGCAGTTTTAAATAAGACAGAAAACAAATAACTGCAGACATTCTTACCTTAACGAAACATATTCTTGGGATGTAGAAGCAACGGCAACAGGACTGAAAATAAAAATAATTATATATTACTAATATTTTCAAGTTATAGTTAAGACCAAAAATAAAAAGTTGCATTAATTGTTACCTCAATGAAATATGATATGCCTGGGATGTAGAAGCAATTGAAACCATGGGACTGAAAATAAAAAACAATAGAATTATCCTCTTTTGTAAGAAATATTCAAACATTAGAAACTTTATTTCCACTACATTAAATTCTTGAAATGTTTATTATTACTACAAATAGCATTAAAAAATAACTTACATGTTTAAAGAATATTGTGGTAGTTCTATATTTAAAGTGGGCACAGCATCAAATTTTATATGTTTTCTATTACCGGCCAATATAAAACTATCAGAAGTAAAGTGTTCTGAGCAAATCCTTCTGTTTGGTTTGAAGGGTAATGGATATGAAGATGATCTTCCTAAAAGCCTCATCCAAGTCTCGAATTGTTCAAAAGGAATTCTAAGATAATACAAAAGATATTGTTAATACTTTTTGAAAACTTTTGAGTACCTATATTTTAACAATGCACAGTGTGAAAATAAAGCTACTTAATTAATGTATAGATCAGGTGAATAATATCTCGGATTATTCTATATTAGTCGCATATATATTATAAAAAAAATCGCGTGATAAAATCACTTACAAATTGTCTATATTTAATATGCAACTAAAATAATAAACTTTCCAATAATAATAATAATTAAAATACCACGTTATAAAAAAAATATTAAAATTTAGGTGTACGTTCATGAATAACGTGACGTAGAATGACGTAAAACTCTTGAAATTGACGTAGTGGCGTTTAAATTGTCATGCGCACGGACCGATTTTTTCATCCAGGTCGGCTAAGAAATTAGGAGTAGGGTTTATGTCATATAGCCGTCCAGTTTAATATCAAGGTCGGTGCACACAGTAGATACCTTCTTGCTTGATGACAAGACATTTCACATCTAAATCGATTGCAACAATGTATTTTCATCTTCTACAGGGTAATAATTAACGATACATTTATAATTTAGCCCTCTGCAAATGGGTACTAAAAAAGTTTCACTAGCCTTACTATATAGAATCGATGACATTTTAAAGTTTTTGTTGTTTTTAAAAAATAAACATTATTGTATTCTAATATTTTTTTGTAGCTAATGTTATTTTATCGTTTTCATCCTATGTGAAATTGTTTATAAATAGAATAACAATTTTGACAAAACACCATTTGTAAAACACTTTAAAAATTTGTCAATAAGGCAAATTAAAAAACAAATCTAAAACCAGCCACATCTTGATGGAACCTTTATAGCCAGATTTACTGGTTTTACATTTTTTTTATAAAATTATTTTGTTGTCGTAAAAAAATGTTGTACATCACTTGTGTAAAAGTGATTTTTGAACTCGAGTTATGCCTCGTGCGACAATATTTTCCACTCGTGTTAGAAATGTTACTTTCCGCACTATTTTATCCGTTTTGGGATATATACAAGCATTATGCGTATTATATTATTTAATTTAAAAAACCTCTCAGGTAATAAACCAATTTTCAATAGTTAAAAAATATACTCCAGGCTAGATAACACACAGACACTGTATCATTATAAACCATGAATAATAACTTTTAATCAGTTAATTACTTTGGGACACACATCCATGAAAATTTAGTATTCCGTCATTAGTGATTGGAGCTACTACAGCCAAAGCGTTTGAACGACAAAATGTAATTTCCCTGCAAAACCAGTTTTAATTTCATGTTGATGCACAACGAGCTCCCAATAACGTGTCATCACCTGAGCTTTTATTAAAAAAATCTAATTTCAAAACTGGTACAATTTGCAATTTTTTGATTTTGTTGAATATTTAAAAAGTGTTGTTAAATAAAACCCACTGACAGGAATAATTATTTATTTCTCTTTCTTGCCTCCAATATTTTCTAATTTGACATTGATAGTTTTTTTTTAAGAAAAATGTTTGTCAATTATCCATAAATGCAAAAATTTAGAAATAATTAAGATTACTGCAAGTATGTGTCATCCAAAAGTGTTAGAAAAAAATTCTCAAACATATTTAATTATGTAGTTAGATTCCTCCTCCACAAGATGGTGTTACGTATACACGGTGCAAAAAACTTCAAGGGAAGATAGTACACCTAAAAATATTAAAACAAAATACCTTCTAAATTGCACCATTTTTGAAATACAAGAATGACTCCGGAAGTGTTAAATGAATTTGAATTATTTTCGTAATATCATTATCGAAAAAAACTTGTTGCATCCGTGGATGTACAAACACATCAATGTGAATTTGATTCGTTAGTAAAGAAATTTTATAAATTTCCACAGATGACACGTGGTGTCTCACATCTAATGATATATATAGTTGCATAAATTGCTTATCCATATGTAAATCAGACGACGAAAAGCCTATTTCAGTGGGCGAGATTTTCTTTTTATCTAATACATATTTTCTATCAATTTTTAGCACTCGGTTGTTAATAAATAATTTACAGGATTAGCAGGTTCACTATTGTCTATGGATAACTTTACTCAACCGGGTCGCCCACAGTTAGTACTTGAATGTGACTATCCAAGGAAAAGCTACGTAAATATAAAATGTAGAATATTTTGAAAATTTTCCCTATTTAATTCTAAAATTAAACACTAGAGAGGGCTAACTTCGGCAGCAGTGCTGCTTCTATATTTCACTCACGGTCCCTATCTCTCCTTGAAGTTTGTTGCACCAATTTAGGAACACCTTGTACAGTATACATTGAATATGAAACATTTTTAGATAGTCTACTGCCATTCCTTGAACACTTTCCACGTTGGGTGCCTTTTTTGTTTAGGTAAACACTAAAATTGATTATTCTGAACAGATTAAATTTAATTTTTAAAACATTAATGTTACCTTTGATATATTTATTGATACAACAATTGCAAGTGACATGGCAAATACCAAAAAGCAAATACGACATACTAAATTATTTCGCAACATAAATACTCGTTTATGGTTCGTTTGGAAAACGTCACGCTTTTGTTTATTAAACCGTTATTAACCATACTAAAGGTCCCTAAAATGCAGTTTATGTGCTATGATCCGTTAAAAACTCGTAAATCGCTATTGACCGTAACAAAGATGAATAAAACAGAATAGGTACTGAAAATTTAATATAACGTACAGGAAAATTAGCCCCATTTTTAAATGCACAAGTAGTGGGGAATTTTTTTTAATTATTTAGTAACTTTTTTCTTTAATATGGTTAATATGTAGGTTATAGTGGATGATTAAGTGATTCTTGTATTTTGGCTAGAGTCGGCTAGAACTTTACGTACCTCGAAAGTACTTAAATAAAGAAATATTATGTTACTTAAGGTGAATAGAGAGCCTTTATTATTTTCGGACAAGGATATTTCAAAAAGTAATTTTTTTAAAAAATTTAAAAAGTTTGGCAAAATAAATAAGGTAATATTATCTAAATATGCCTATATTTTAAAGTTTTCATTCCTTTCAGTTTCCGTAAAAAAAATCAAAGAGCTTTAAATTTTGAAATATAATAAAAAAAATGAATTGCTATTCGACTATTCGACTTTTAAAATTTTACATGATCTGAGTTTAAACCGGTTTCTATCTTTAAAAAATTAATTTATTTTAGTACGAAAGGACCAAATAGATATAAAATTTTTTTAATTTTGATTTAAATTGTTATTTTGGCTATTCTTAATATAATCCCAAAATTTAATATTTTAATGTCTTGTTGATGATTTCATAAAATTCGCCAAAATTAGTGGCTAAAACCCCTTGGTAAGTGCTGCCTTCTGGTGTAACGCGCCTGTAACTATCGTAACGATTTAAACCAGTTCACACCAGAAGATAGCACTTAACGAGGCATTTTAGCCACTAATTTTGGTGAATTTTAAAAAATCATTAACAAGGCATTAAGAGCTTAAATATGGGGATTATTTTAAAAATACTGCTGTGTAAAATGCATTTATTTTCATAACGATATTTCAAAATTTAAAGCCCTATTATTTTTTTCTCCGAAACTGGAGAGAATTAAAACTTTAAAATATATGAATATTCTATAATATTATTGCCTAATTTATTTTGCCAAAATTTTTATTTTTTAAGAAAAGATATTCTTGTCCGAAAATCATAAGGGGTGCTGTAATCACCTTAACAACTGTTAGATTTTAAAATGATAATTTAGATATAATATATGCACTACGATTCAAAGAATCATACATACTTTACGCATACTATGTTATACTTTTTTTTGTAGCAGTTTCGGTAGTAGCAAAAATATTATATGCATCTCTCATGTAAATCTCATTGTTTCATTTGATCTATTTGAATTACAATTCAAACGCTGATATTAATATATTGTATTTCTAATAATTATTTTTGTTCCAGGTAAGATATCATTAACGTTGGGAATACAAAAATGATCTAATTGTCGGTAAGTTTTTTTTGATAAATGTAAATTAAGTCTTAGATTATACAAACCGTAGATAAAACATAACACACTGCGCATAATCCCACTTCGAAATTATTCACACCCACCTATCACAGTTGAAGACATCACATGCCAGAGTGTTGGTTGTCCAATTTAAAATTTTTGAAATTAACGTTGAAAATGCCAAGATGTTTTGTAAAAAGCTGTATTTATAATAAAAGTGCGAAGTGTGACACTGATAAAGGAAACTTACATTTATTTCGGTAAGTTATTTAATTTTTAGAGATTCTATCGTCGGCCATATTTGTTTATTTGAAAATAAACAAAACCGGACTTGGTCATTGGCACATATTACAAGTTACAAATTTTATTACCACTTAATTCGTTTCAAACTTCACAACTGGTTTTAATAGTTGTCAAAACTATTTATTCAGTATTTCTTTATAATAATATGGGATCAATCTATTTAATTTATATTTTATTTAAAGGTTATTATACATAAGTTAATTTTCTTTAATATAAATACTCTCTTTATACGGGGTGATCCAACGAAAACTTGGGGGTTTAGGGTATTAATATTGTGGATTTTAAGAAACGCTCGGACAGATCGATTTTAGTTTGAAGGTGGACATGTTTTATCATATTTACTGTCGTACATCATTCCCCTCCACTCCGTTACTCTAA